CAGAGAAGCCGGTAGGGGAGCTGGGTGTTTTATGGCTGCTGAGGGGACAAGCATTAGATGTGTCATGGGGGAGGAGCGGGCCAGGGGCAGAGAGCCCACCGTGCAAGGGAGGCGCCAGGGAGGAGCGGGCATGATTGGAGGGCAGAGGGTTCAAAGCCCCACAGCCAAGAGACCATGAGGCTATCCCCTGGTGAGAGCCTTAGGCTGTCTTCTGGACCTTGTGGGTTGGGCCAACCTCTTCCCCAATGCCCTCAGCAGGCTAACCCTCCAGGCTGACAGAACAGAGGGGCTGTCCATTGGGCCATAGCTCCTGCCCCCGGCCTCCTGCTTGACTGGCTGCAAGGCCAGGTCTTTTAGGTTGGGAGCGAGCGACAGTGGGAAGAGCCTCCTGGGTCCCATGGAGACTGGCTCTGAGGTGAGAAGCTGGGTGTGAGCGCGGCGGGGGCTGGAGGGCAGGCAGCCCCTCCAAGTGTCTTCTGCAGGTTGTCCACACCTCTCAGAGCATGCTGGTGTTTACAGCTGGTTGCCGTGGTGAGTCCTAAATATTAACCCATGTCCCACAGTCCTTGCTTGAACAAGAAGGGCTATTGCAATGTGGGCTGGCACAGCCGCCGGGGAGCTTTCCCCTGAGAGAGGGGCAGACAGGAGCCCAGGCCCACAGATCCAGCAGTCACAGGTGGACACAGAAAGGGCACAGGCACCTGGAGAGGCACAGCCCTTGCTTTCTCTCCCTCCTTGGAAATGACTTGTAAGCGAGGCTGAGGCGGGGAAGTAAAATCAGTGCCTGCCCTCCGGTGAGCTGTGGACAGGTGGCTCTTTGCAAGTGCTCTGCCACGGAGCTAGAGCCTCAGCCCGATTCTGTAACTATCTTTTATGGCAAATTGAGAATTTTTTTTTTTTTTAGAAGAAAACACGATCCTTCATCTCCTGGTGGTTCTGGCCATACTTGCAGGCAAAGCGCCTGAGCTTGGGGAGCAGGTCTGAAGAGTGGAGCCACATTGGGTGACCAGAGAGGGGGAGGGCCACAGCATGGGTGCCACGACAGCTGAGCTTCTCCATTTTCCCAGCAAACCTTATAAAGAGAGGCCCAAGAGCTCAATGGGTAAGGGTTGGGGGTGTCCTACCAAAGCCAAAGCAGCTACAGGTCCAGGGTGGAAACAAGAAGGAGGAGAACCCAAGAGTGTTAACAGAGGGCTGGGGCAGGCCTGCCCAGTGGAACTTCCTTCAGCCATAGAAATGTGATACACTGTGCCAGCCAGCATGGCTACTTAGGACTCCAGATGGGGGCAGTGTGACTGAGGAATCAAATTTTAGGGTTAGTTTAATTAATTTCAATTTAAATAGGCAGATGTGTCATGTGGCTATCGTATTGGACACAGCAGGAAGGAAGGGATCAAAGAAGTGTATGTTCAGAGCCCTCAACCAGGTGTGATGAGGTAGGCAGCTAGGCATCGTCCTGTTGCTGTTCACGTTCTAAGCAGGAAGCAAAGAGGAAGGCAGAGTCCCTCACCTCGAGACACTGACGTTCCATAGGAGGGAACTACGGGACTCCTGGGGGTTGGGGACCCCACACCTGGACACCCACTGTGGGAGAAGAGTCCCTGATTGAGAGGATGCGGATCTTGCTGGGTAGCACGCTCTCAGTGGGCAACGATAATGGTTGGTGTTGTCAGTACTGCTCTAGGGTCAGGGTCTTCAGGGGCTAAACAACATCACCTTTCGAGTTTCATATCAAAGCAAGGTTGGCTCACCAGGTCTGAGAGTGAGTGGGTGGAAGGGACTAGTGTGCCGTTCAGATTTCAAGGGGCATAAGGTGGCCTGAGAACTCACAGTTGTGCAACTTGTTCCATTAGTTCTCCCAGGGTCTCCCTTTCACATGAGAATGTGTTTTGCTGAACAAATAAATTTAGAAAACATTATTTTTAAGGGTCTTTTTAGTTGTAGATGGACAAAATGCCTCTGTTTTATTTATTTGTTTTTATGTAGTGCTGAGGATCAAGCCCAGTCCCTCACAAGTGCGAGGCAAGTGCTCTACCCAGCCCCCTAGAGAGTGTTATTTTTTAAAGAGATGTTCAATTCTAGTCCTGAAAAGTCCTGGGACTCAGTTTTTCCCCTGGTGGAGTCAGGGGCCAGGAGCAGAGCCAGCAGAGCAGCAGAGGACACCTGGACAGAGGTGCATCCCCTGGGATAGGGATGCAGACCCGCAGGAGGGGTCAGCAGTTCTGGGGGATCCCTGTGTCTAGTTGTTTCATTTTAGTTTTTTCAGTTCTAAGATATATTAGCATTAATAAGAAATATATTTGCATGATGATGAATTTAAAAGATCTCCTGATCTTTCCTTAGGCTTCGTAGCATCCTCCTGGGAGCTGTGGCAGGATGGAAAGGGAGAGGGGAGAGCCTGGACGCCTCACCTGGACAGCGTCTGCAGTCCTCAGCACAGTCACGCTGTGCAGGGACAGGTCAGTCAGTGAGGACACATGCTGACGGTACCTATGGATCACAGCAGGCTCACAGGCCAGGGATGAGCGCTGAGCCTGCACCTTCTGATGAACCTCTGAGTGTCCCCATAGTCAGCTGATACGTGGTGTCCCCAAAGTTAGCTGGCATGTGTGCGCATTCCTCAACTGCCATTAAGTTTTGGGGAAACACACACGCGTGCGCGCACACACGCGCACGACTGCCCTCACTCCTCATGCTTCAAGGAATTAAGTCTGAGTCCCAGGAAAGGTGCAGAGTGAGCTGTTTCACTCTAGTCACCTGAACTCCTGGCTCTGCGACCTGTGCAGGGCCAGCCCCTTAAAAATCACCTGGGGAACTTGTTAAAATAGACACGCACCTGAGCACAGCCTGAGAGTCTCATTCAGCGCAATCTGAGAATCTACTACAAAATAAAACAAAGCTTCTAGGTGGTTTGGACATGAACGCCAGGTTTGGACTGGCTGGTGAGTCACCGACCTCTGACCCTGCCTGGCATGATCCACTGTTGCTATGGAAGCATCGATGGGCACCCCAGCCGCCATGAGTTTTTGGATTTGACTACTTTTTTTTTTTTTTTAAGTACACATCTGTTTCAAAAGCAGAGGGCCTTGTTTTTGGAAGACAGACATTTTCTTCTCTGCAGATATTCACATGTAGAGAAGCGGTGAAGCTCCCACAGAGCAGAGCACACTCTCTTCTGAACCAGACTCCTCTGCGTCAGTCCACCTGGAAGGAGCCAGAGGGTTTCTCTCCAGAGCTGAATCCCAGATGAGCTGTTGGAGGTGCCTGGCTGGGGAAGCCATGGGCCCTGGACCCCCCTGGTGGTCTGGGGACAGCAGTACCCATCCAGGGTGGCACAAGGCTCTGGCAACTCCGGCTTGAGGCAGACCTGAAAGGACAGTCCCGTGGAAGTCACCAGCAGGAAAGAACCTACATACATGAAGCTGGGTGGCCAGTGACCTACAACGCCCCCACACTGCGCCACGTTCACACTCTGAACTGAGCACAGCCATGCCTGTCTTCCTTCCGAGAGACTAGAAGAGGACTGAGAGGAGGACCAGCAGGGGCTTTGTGGCTTCCCGGTGCAAAGCCGTCCTAATGTGTTGAGAATGTAGTGATTCCTTGTTCTCTTTTCTTTCGACGCCGGCTGTACTGGGGATCCAGGGCCTTCCTGGGTCCTGACGGATCTCCTTGGGACACCGCCCAGAACTCCCCTTGCAAAGCCGCTCATGGGCTCTTTCACCGTGTTAGCAGTGTGGGCAGCTTTAACAGGAGGGCGGGCAGGGCCCTGCAGGGGCTGCTGTGTGCGGTGGATGTCTCCCTGCGGTCTGTGACACAGAAGGAGCTGGTCACGTGTGGACGGTGGTCACCCTGTGGTTCTCCTCCCAGCCTGCCTGCAGCGCTCCTTGGCCTCAGGCAGAGGTGCTTTTAAAGAGCCACAGCCTCTGCGCCCAGACCCATGAACCTGCCAGTGCTTCTGCCTGGCACGGGGGGCGGCCAACTCAGCCTCAGACCTGCCCACACTCTCACCTCCCTCCTGCCCACACTCAGCACCTCCATCCTGCCCGCACTCGGCACCTCATCCTGCCATGCACGCAGACTCCGTGGAGCACAGTTTGCACGAAGACCCCGTGGAGCACAGTTTGCACGAAGACCCCGTGGAGCACAGTCTCCACCCTCCCACAGCTGCACACCGGTCCCCAGCCCTGCCACCCCATGGGAGACCAGAGCACCCCTCTGCTAAGACAACCACCTCCCATCCACACATCTCCCCCGACACACAGCAGCTGTTTCTCTGGCTGCCAGCTGATGGCAGACCTCGAGCCCCCTCCTGGGCTCCCAGGAAGGGGCTGTCACCAGGAGACGCTGGGGCCACCTGCCAAATTTACTCCTAGAGGACATGTTGGGTGGATTAATTGTTCAGGTCTGAGGACATGAAGGGCAGCTGACACAATGACCAAGAGGAATGACAGTGAAGAAGAGAAGGAGCCAGGAAGGGGCAGAGAGAGCTCTTGATGGGGGAGGGGGGACGTGGGTGACATCACCGTCCCATGGACGGGCTCCTCCACACATTCTTCCTTGCCAGGCTTGCGCGTCCCCCTCACGTGGGGACCTGCAGCTCACCCTGGGACCCTGGGCTCCTTCTCCTGCATTTGCTGGGCCACAGGAGCGGGGAGACCGCCCCTTGCTCAGGTGGGTCTGTGCACCTGTCGACTGGAGTCCAGGTGGCACCCTGTGCACCCTGGAGCTGAGGGATGTGCCCTCCTGTCTGCCCCCAGGCCTCCCCAGCTCCCAGCAGGTGAGGGCCCTTACCCCGGGGCCGGCTGGGACCTCAGGGCTCAGGGTACGGTCCAAGTCCTGTGTGTGGACACGAGTGGTGGGTATGAAAGATGGCGGGATTCACCCGTCAGATTCTCAAAGGACCCCAGAAGGACAAGGAGCCCTGACACCCTGAGCCTGCCCCACCTGGCACCTGTTTGGAGCAGGGCGGGCTGGGGCCCAGGTGGCGGGCAGCATGGTACCTTGGAAGCAGCCATGACAGCGGCTGTGGCTGCCACGTTCAAGCCGCGCTTCCCGAAGTGCACGAGGGCATCGTAGCTCCTGTCTTTCGCCTGGACCAGGCAGTCATCAATTTCCTGTCAGAGGGAAGATGGTGCACTGAGCAGGCAGCTGCGGCAATCTCCTGCCCTCCCAGCTCCCAGGCTGGTAGCTCCCCGTGGGATTCTAACTGGCCCAAGAGCCACCGGTACTGCCATGGGCTGTGCAGACCAAAGGGACACGGGCGAGGGGCGGAGAGTGGACAGAGACCAGCCCGGGGCTGGCCCAGCAGGGCCCGGGATTGTGAAGCCCCTGCCTCCTGGACGCGGCTGCTCCAGAAGCCACGGCTAGAAGCTGGGGCAGACTCCCACCCTACCCTTCAGACCATGGCTGCAAGGCCGCCACAGTCTCCTGGGGAAAGGGGACAGTCATGACACGGAATCCGTGGCTCAATAGGCCTGGCGGAGGTCATTCCGTAAAGCACCACACAGAGCTGGATTCGTAGGTGGAAGTGTGGTCTGCTGACCCCTGCAGGTGGCCCTGGGGTCCTGCTGTTCTGTTGAGGTCTATGAGCCAGCGTGGCCGGGTGTGTGGGGACAGGAGGGTTAGGATGAAGAAGGAAACAGTTGCTACTTATTGACCAAGATGAACGTTTCACAGACTCCAGAGCAAAAGCAGAACCAGGAAGGCGCTGGTGCCCTTCAACAAGGCAAAGGTGAGGGACCGACTGAGGTCTCCTCCACACAAAGCCAAGGGCGGCACTGGTTTCTTGACTGGTTTTGGGTTGCTTGAGGCTCAGGAGCTCATCTCAGAGCTCAGCCAGATGATGACACCTGGCCTCCGGCTGGCTCGAAGCCCAGCATGCAGTGTTTCTGTGCTCAGAGGGAGCGGGATTCCCATTCTACGGCCCTCTAACCTTGCCATCCCCCAGAAGTGACTCAGCAGCTCTTGAGAGGCAGGTCCCTGCACTTGGAAATCAGGCTGCAGGGGAGGCCCAGTGCTGGGACTGGGAGGACGAGCAGGACTGGAGGCCAGGTCCAGATGGACCCACTCCCCTAATCCCCGTTAGGGGACTGAGAAACAGTGCTCCACTCCTACAGAGCTTCCAGAAACTTCCACAGCAGCCTGTTCAGCCACTGCCTGGCCTCCGCTCAGAGTTCCCCAGGAGGGGGCACAGGGCTCTCTACTCCAGAGGCTGTGGGGACCAGCTCCCAGCCACCCACGGGGCTCCTATTGTATTTTTATTGTCCTGAAAATTGAACCAGTGGGGGTCACACCCCTAGCCCTTTTTACTTTTTATTTTGAGGCAGGGTCTCCCTAAGTTGCTGAAGCTGGCCTTGAGCTTACAACCCTCCTGCCTCAGCCTCCCAAGTTGCTAGGATTACAGATGTGTGCCATGGAGCCTGATCTATTAGAAAATAATACAACTGATGAATTACACAATATTGGACTCCTTTGGCCCGCTAATCCTGCCCTTAGGATCTTACTCCAAGATGGAGAAGGAACCACACTGTGCACCTGGTGACGTCCACTGCAGAATCACCTTCCCCAGGAAAAGATGAGACGGTGTGGGCAGTGGTAAGGGACAGTCCCACTGTTGAGACTACCTGGACGTGTATCATGTGCAAACACATCAGAGACCTCAGAACATAAATACTGCTACTCATGTCAAGGGGTTTGATTTTGCTTGGAGGCTGGGCCTCAAGCTCCTGGGCTCAGGAACCTCCTGCCTCTGTCTCCCACGTGTGGGTGGCACACCACCCCCTACTCCCAGCTTGTGTTTTAAAAGCATTTTCAAAAAGGATTCCATGTAAAATTGTAAATAGTTACATTAAAATCCCATCTGCAGGGCTGGGGATGTGGCTCAAGCGGTAGCGAGCTTGCCTGGCATGTGTGTGGCCCGGGTTCGATCCTCAGTACCACATACAAACAAAGATGTTGTGTCCGCCGAAAACTAAACAATAAATATTAAAATTCTCTCTCTCTCTCTCTCTCTCTCTCTAAAAAATAAAATAAAATAAATAAAATAAAATCCCTTCTGCAGAAGGAGAGGGCCAACCATGGCCAAGGGGAGGGACTTCAGCTGGGAGCAGTGAACTGCAATGGATGTTTTACTTCTCATTTTAATTGATGGAAATATGTTACAATCCATAATGATAAATAACATCTGTATAGTATTTCACCACTACTCCTAACATGTCCAAAATCATACTTGAAAAAAAAAAAAAAGAAATCAGCCGGGCGCAGTGGCGCAGGCCTGTGACCCCAGCAACTCGGAGCCCGGGGCCTCTTCCTGGTTTCAGAAGCGCCTCCCCCTTCGTGGGATGGCCTTGCCTCCTGCCTGTCGGCTCTCGGGGCTTCTGACCAGGCCTTAGGTGTTCCACCTCCAGGGGCCACCTGGCTCCCTTCTCTTGTCCTGGATCTGAGCACAAAGGCTCGAAGCCTTCCCCACTCATATGACACTGCCTGCGAGTTTGCTTAGATGGCCTTTGTCATGATGAAGTTTGTACCATGAAGGTATGAGGGATCTTGTCAAACGCTTCTTCCTGTACCTGTTGAGATGATCATATAGCTTCTGTCCTTCATTTTGTTGCTCACAAAAGCTAAGCTATGGAACAAACCCAGAGGCTCATCTAGGAAGAATCAATAAAGAGAATGTGGTACACATACACAATGGAATATTATTCAGCCTTAAAAAAACATGTGTCCTCCCAGTTGCAGCTAAGTGGAGGAACTGGAGGACAGTGTGTTACGTGAACTAAGTCAGACACAGGAAGACAAGTACCTCATGATCTGCCTCATAGGTGGCTGCTGAACACAGCCATCTGAATGTAGGATAGAGACTGGGGTGGAGGCAAGTAGGATGCTGGGTTCAGATGCACAGGTAGGAGTAAACGCTATTGTTCTGTGGCAGGTGGGGCGACTGCAGTTCACAATGGCCCTGGTATATTTTAGGAAGAGCCAGAAGAGGAGTGGAAAGGCTCAGAGGCTGAGTAATGCTTGGTGGGGTGGAAACGCTCACGACCCTGGCTGATCATTGCACACCGCGTCCAGGTGTTGAGTTCTACGCTGTCCCCCACGAATGGCACAATTAAATAATAATAATAAGCAAACAATTAAAAAAATGTTACAGAAACAACTTAAAAAGGGATTAGTAGGAAAAGCTTATTGGGGCTCCAGAAACCCAGCAAGGGGGCTCCTGCAACCTGGTGCTCTGACCCTCGTGCTGACCGTGTCCTCGTCCTCCGCTCCCGGGGTGCATATTACCTTCTCTTTCGAGGACAGCGTGGGGTGCACGAACTTCCTGTACAGGAGGCTGGAGCCTTTTGTGTAGGGGGACAGCAGCCAGGCCACAAACGCAATTTTCAGTTCATAGTAGAATGGAAACCTGGGGAGACGAGAAGATGTGCCTCCATTAGGCTCCCAGCAACTCCAGGCTGGGCACGTGGACACCTCAGCCTGCATAGGGAGGCTAGTCCCAGCTCCTCCTCTGCCCACAAAAGGCCTGCACACATGCACCCATGGCTCGGTCTCCTGGGTCACGAGCCCTCCATGGGCTGCGTGTGGGTCACCGCACATCGAGCCTAGTGGATAGGAACATCTGGTGTCTGGGAATGACCAGTGGACATTCTCTCTGGCCAATTGCCCAGGAACAGTGTGAATTTCTATCCTGCTCTGCTGGGGCCCACACAGCACCTGAGATGGGTATGACCTGCTGAGATGCCAATCAACCTGCTGACTGACATCATGAATCAAGACTCGCCCTTGGAACCTTGCCCCTGCCCTTGATGTCCTCCTTAAATAACCCTCTAGAGCCATCTTTCCTTGGTCTTGTTCCAGCACCCACGGGGACTGGATGTATAGGGCTCCGCTTTCATAAATGTATTTCTGATTCTTTGTATTTTGTTCTTCACTAATTATTTTAGACTTCCAGTTTCCAGGTGGTTTACGCCCTCCTCCTGTTCTAGGGATCTCTGAGCATAACTAACGACTTCCTTCCTGACAGTCATCTCCACGTCTCTGCGGCTCACCACACCTGATTAGAACAAAACATGATGCTATGTTGGGGTCACCTGTGACAGTCTGAGGGGTCAGAAAGGTAAGTCCTCCCCAGGTACCTGCTCAGGTAGGGGAGCCCCCTTGAGCCACACCCCACCCCTTATTTTATTTTGAGACAGGGCCTCACTAAGTTGCTGAGACTGGCCTTGAACTTGCAATCCTCCTGCCTCAGCCTCCCAGGATGCTGGGATTATAGGTGTACACCACCAAAAAGGAACAATTCCTAACAAGCCACTTTAGGACACAACACATGAACACATGTGCAGCCTGAACGTCCGGAAGAGGAACTTCTGCATGAGCTTTATAGTCAGAGGAAGCCCCTCTGTGTAGCTATGAGGAAGAGCACCTGATTCCCACAGCCACGCCCTCATGGTATATGGCCAACCCTAAGAGCCTGTGCCTAGGCTGCGAGATTAGGGCCTGTGGGACAAGATTTCGAAGTGCTTTTGAGCTGCTCAGGCCCCATTTATTCCCTTTCAATACACATTCTCACTTGTGTGTGCGTCCCAGCCCTTTAACCATAAACAGGATACTAGGCACCACTCACAGCCCCTTCACCTAAGATACAACACATCAATGCAAAGAACTGATGATTTTTAATTATTCCATTGCTAAGCATAGCTGTATTGCTTATAAAATAGAAACCAAATTAAATATCCACCAAAAAGACATTTGTAGCAGAGTGCAATCCTCCTACCTCAGCCTCCGGAGTCGCTGGGGTGACAGGTGGGCACTACTGTGTCCCCCGTTCCTTTTTTCTTTTCTTTTGACATATAAATCCTCTACCCAGTGCATTAATTGGGGGAACTGGGCCTGTATTGCCCATATCCCTAGCACCTTGGACAACACGTGCTCTTGAAGGTCATTCAATAAATATGTACTTGAAGAACAAATTTTATAGACCTCGTCATCAAAAGTAATCCAATTAACAGGCCTGCACCTGCACCAAGGTTTGGATTTCAGCCCTGATTCCCCTTCCCTCCCCTCCTCCCGCCTCCCTCCAGGCAAAACAGTCCTGGAAATGTGCCCATTCCCAGAGTCCTTACCAGCACAGGAAGATATCTGTGAATGTCTCTGCCGTGGTGAAAAGTGCGAATATGATCCAGTACATCATCCACTTGACCTGCAGGGAGACAGCACAGAGCTAGGAGAAAGGGCAGGTGTTGGTGGCGCCCAAGTGGCCCCTGTCCACTCCCCACCTTTCCCAGCTCACGTCCAGCTGTACTCCATACGCTGGGGCTAGAAATGGGGCCTATAAATGGCCCTCCCACAGCTGGCCAGGCTCAAGGTCAGATCCAACCCTGTTAGACCCTGGCGGCCTTTCACAGCCTCAGGTGAGCAGGGAGAGACCAGGAGTGACCAGGCTACAGCCTGGCCCTTGTGCCAGGACTACCATCTGGCGATCCAACACCATAGCCTCCACAGTGATGCCCCAGGAAGGACTTATACCAGGCCAGGCATCCTCAAGGGTCATTTAGAACCCTTTCTTGTGGGCAGGCCCCAGGGCCACCTGCAAGACTGTTCAAGTTTCTCCCTGATGACGTCCTTTCTCTCTCCTCTGCCCCTCTCCCTCTCTCTTGAGCTCCTGCAAAATGCCCCTGAGTGCTTCCTTTGCTGGCTGGCTCCCCTGTGGCCCCTTCCCCTTCAGCTCTGTGCAGTGGCCAGGGCTGGGCTGACCTCCTGACAGCTGTTGCTGAGCCTCAGCAAAACCCTTCAAAACCACTACTTGAAGGTTCCCGAGCAACAAGGCAGAGGCAGAGAGGAGGGGCCAGCCCTGGGGGAGCCCTGAGAGAGAGCCCCGCTGGAACTCCTGAGGACAATCCAGGCCGAGGCTGGGGACTCAGCAGCCTGTTGGGTGAAGACTGGAGAATGGAGTGTGAGGCCCAGAGTTGTCAGAGTGGAGAGGAGGAAATCCCAGAGTCGGGAGGCCCCAAGTCTACATGTAATATGCCTTCAAATCCTTGGCCGGCTCTTGAGTGGCACAGAACCAATAAGACTCCAAAATGTTTACTTTGGCATTAAAGAAACAAGCAAATCAATGGAAAGCTGAAGGAGTTGGGCAGGAATTCTGTTTCTCTTCACTGCAGGAGAAGCACGCGTGGAGTTCAAGTCTTGTCTCATTGAGGGACCTAGGCAATATTTTGGAAGCTCTCCTGAGACATCTGGGGGCCAACGTTAGAAATAAAATTTACATGTCAGCACTAAGGGATCAGCTCTTGGACTAAAGGCAGAACTGAAATACAGGTAAGACCTGCCCCAGGGTGGAGGGACCCCGTCACACCTGGACTGCCTGCTTGGCACACTCATTTTCCACAAGAGGGCAACAGATGGTTGAGTTTCTATTGTGTGTCCTACAGGAAGCCCAGCACAATAAAAATCCCCATGGGCAAAGGGACAGGAAGATACATCCCCAGTATGAGAAGAAGTCCACAGAAACAGATCCATAGATGACCTAGATGTCAAAACTGGCAGGCAGCTTTTAAAAAGATAAGAAAAGAGAAAAAGGAAGAGAAGGTACAAAGGGCCCCTATTTATCAAAAAAGCTGAATCAATAAGGAATAAGTCTGGGCAGGGCCATCAGGCAACGGTAGACACACACACAGCATGCGCAAGGCCTGGGCTCCGTCCCAGCACCAGGAGACGGAGACGAGACAAACAAAACCCCATAGCACAGCAGCACAACAGAACAAGAGAGTGACCTCACAACCACGGTGACAAACAACCTGACAACCCGGTGACAGACAACCTAACAACCTTGGTGACAGGTTGTTACAGGTAAGAATTGCCCCAGGGTGGAGGGGCCCTGTCACATCTGGAATGCCTGCTTGGCACACTCACTCTCCAAAAGAGGGCGACAGACAGCCGCGAATGAGTACAACCACGGTGACAGACAACCTAACAACCATGGTGACAACCCAACAACCACAGTGACTGACAACCTGACAACCTAACAACCATGGTGACAGACAACCTAACAACCGCAGTGATGGACAACCTAACAACCATGGTGATGAACGCTCTCGGCAAAGTGGGGAAGAAGGAACCTGCCCACCTTGATAACAAAATATCTACCAAAAGAAAGAGAGAAAGTCCTGTGACAAACCCATCCCCGAGGTTGAGGAAACAGGCCGTGGCCCTCAAGACCCAGGGACAAGCGAGGCTTTCTCCCCTGCCACTCTCAGGCCATGTCATCGTGGAAGTCCTTGGGAATGCCACAGGTTCTGTAGGAAACCAGAGAGCTGTTGGGAACCCTCCAGGACTAGGGCACTGAGGGATGGGTCGGGACACTGTGCACTCCCCTCGCCTCCCCATGCAGCAAGGAGCAAGGGCAGGGCCAGGAAAACAAGGCCATCTACCCCCTCCCCGCGTCCCTTAGGAACACAGCTAAGGACACCTGTTGAAAGGAAGTCCACATGAGGAAAGCTAGACACCCCAATGAGAAACCAGGCAAACACCAGGAGGACCAGTGGCGGGAAATCCCTTCCTGGAAAGTGGTCAGCAGCTTCCCTACCCTGCCATCAGCCAGCCTGTCCCTGCCTGCAGGGCACATGGCACCCCCTAAGCACAGGGTTTCAACCCTGTAATTCTTAAAGGGGTGCCAGGGACTGCTGGTGGCCTCACCCCTGAAAAGCCCCAAAGGCCAAACTGTCCGGCGTCCCTCTGCCTGACTGGCCGCTTCTCGGGCTCTTCACCCCTTGCTGGGGGCTTTCTAGACCCCTGACCTACCTTAGACCAGGCACCATTCACCTCAAGCTCCCCCTGACCCCGTCTTCTCCCCACCCACTGGCTGGCCTCACTTAGACCTGTCTAGAATGCGCCTGCCCCTCATGCTCTGCCCTGCCCTCCTTTCCACCCTGCCCTCTCGCTCCAGGCACAGTGACCTGATCCCAGATGGGTGATCCTCTGGCCTAGCTCAACCCTCCAGTGGTTCCTTGTTGTGAAAAAACCCAAACTCCTTGCATTGGTTCTGAAAAGCACTGATGGCCCCGGCCTCTCGCTCCAGGCTCCCGCTGCACCCTGCCCATGCCCACCCACTCCGCTTTCCTGAAGAGTGCTGCCTTCTGTCTCCAGGTTCACCCCTGGCCTCAGCCTCAGCCTCTAGGAAGTGCCTGGAGCCCAGGTGGCCTGTCCCTCCCCCAGTGACCCTCTGGCCATCCAGTGCTCACTGAGCCTTGCGAAGGTGCCTGCTGTTGCTCTGCTGCTCTGTGGACGGAGCTCCCCGAGGTGGCTAGCAGCCCTTCTCACAAGTGGTTATGTCCCCAGCACCTGCTCACTCCTCTGGCTCCTGGCACACAATGGGCACTGGGTGGACATGATTTTGATGTGGGCGTTGTGGGTGGGAAAGAGAAGATGGCTCCCAAAGGTGCACAGGGGGTAGGTATACTGGGAAACACGCCCTAACGGCTTTTGGAGAAGAAGACAGATTGGGAGGTGACCCATGCTCCCTGCCAGGGCCCTTGTCTGTGGCTGTGAGATACCCGCCAAAGCCGGGCACCAGTGATAGACGGACACAGTACCACCCAACAGAAGGTGAAGAAAGCCAATTAGGGAGAAGGGCGAAGGATGGACTGAGCATCCAGAGAATACCCAGGGGGCCCAACAGGCCCCCGGAGGACAGACCAAGCAGGGAGGCTGAGCCCCCAGAAACAAGGAGCCATGGTGGGTTGTCAGCCTGGAGAAGCTCCCATCATGCCCCCACCCACCTTAAAACGCTTCCCCCAAACAGAACCTGAGGGGTAACACACAGCCCGACAGGGTGCCCCAGAGATGGGAATTGTGTTCTCCTGTGACCACCAGGAAATGGGTTCCCCAGTGGGCACTCCTGATGCTTGGGCTTCCGTGGCCTCACTTGACAGCAGGCAGCCCCCTCCCAGGGACTGACAGCATGTGGAAGTAGCAAGACTTGTCCCGTGTGTACCCTCCACACACAAGAGCCCGTCCAGGGCCATCCTCTCCACTGCCTCCATCGGGTGTTTACCGGTGGAGCCTGTGTCCCCAGCCACCGCCACTGGGGCCAAGCACCAGCTGACATGGCTCCCCGCTGGTTCTCAGTCTGCCCCCCTCTACCTTCCCACAGAGCCTCATGGAGGGGGCCACGCTCAGGCCCCCCTCCCCAGCACAGGGGCCAGGGGCTCAGGGAGGGCCCTTCTCAGTGTTGAACCCCACTCTGCTTCTCGCCAGGGGCCTCCTCCGAGCACAGAGATGGGGTGACAAGGTGATGCTCTGGGGAGCCTCTGCTCTTGTGCACCCCACAGCCTGGCCCTGAGGCGGAGAGCCCCATGGAATGCTCGGCCTCTCTTGGGTGGGCGTGCTGTCCTGGGTGCATTTCTTCTCTGACTCTGTCACCGACACATGGCCCTGCTTCCTAGCCAGGGCCTCCAGGCTCAGGAACCAAGCTGCTAGGGCGACCTGTCTCCTAGTTCAGCCCAATGGCAGCTCCTCAAGGCTCACAATGTGGTCCACAGAGCCACACCACCTGCACTGCCTCAGAGCATTTCGGATGTGAGAGTGTGCCACTCACCAGGACCCTCTGGACCAGGGCTGGCGTCTGACGGGATCCTGCTCATACACACAGGCTGAGGTCCAGCTCACCCATGGTACCCTTGCCCTCACCTCCAAATCTCTGACACTGCTTTTCAATGGCTTTATTACCTGAGAGGTGGCTGCATCCACCAGGAGTACGAGATGGTTCCAACAAAATGTCACCTGGCCACCTCAAGACACTCACTGGAATATAGGTACAGGGCAACCTGCAGGCTTCAATGCAGTGACAATCCTGATTGTCAGGGGGACCAGGGTAGAGGGACTGGGGGTCCACTGTGGGGGCTCCCTGTACTGTCCCCATTGGAGGTGAAAGTGGTGGCTCATTGCTGAACCCTGCGGAGGCAAGATCACAAGGCCTTCATTCTCACAGTGTGCACAGAGAGCCCTCTCACCAAGTGCCAACCAAGACCACTCGGGCATGAATAGGGTGACAGAAGAGGGAAGGGCCAGGGGAACCCGGGGAGGGGAAGGCATGGATTCTGTGGAGTGCAGGGTACCCAGCACGAGCCTTGAGCATCCTGATTCTGCAGGGATCTGGCGTGTTAACCCGAGCCCCTCTGAACCACTTTACACCCTATGGGTCACCACAATAATTAAGGAGTTCAGGAAAATCTTCAACATGCCCTTATTTTCATTTGTCTGAGAGTCATGATTCATCCTTTAGAAATCATCTTGAAAGCTAGATTCCAACACTGCTGTAATCTCCTGACCAGCTTCGTGAGGATGGACTGTAGCATTTACCTTCTCCCTTCCCATGTTCTGCATCACGTAGTGATCCTAACTCATGTACTTTGTGCTCTCTCCCACAGGGTGCTGGCCATTTGGACACAGGGGAGGAGGGTGTGGTGCACAGCTCCCCAGGACACCCATACCCAAGCCCTACGAGGTGGCTGTGAGGAGTAGCTAAGGCCTCCTGAGGGAAGGGTGTCCTGGGCCCCCAGGTAATCACACGTCCTTAGAAGAGGAGAAACGTCCTGGCTGGTCAGAGGGAAAAGGGATGTGGCAGAGCGCCCAGGGACACGAGAGGCTGGCTCTGGAGTAGGGACCAGCAGCCAAGGGTGCAGGTGGCCTCCAGGAGGTTTGGAGGTTGGACCCAGGTTTCCTGCAGAGTCTGCCAAGGAGGCAGCCCGCCTGACAAGGCCCAGAAGAGGCTGCACCTGCAGACCCTGCAGGGGGTCCCTGGTGACCTGCCACCTGACAGGGAAATGGAGACTGAGCCCTGCAGGGACTTGGGAGGGGCTCTGCTGAGCCTGGGAGCAGGGAACAGGAAGAGCTGGAGAGGCCAGGGCAGCCCAGGGACAGTCACCAGCAGGGAGCAGGAGGAGCAGGAGAGGCCCAGGGCAGCCCAGGGAGTGTGACCAGCAGGGAGCAGGAGGAGCTGGAGAGGGCCAGAGCAGCCCAGGGACAGTCACCAGCAGGGAGAAGAAGGGAGGTGGAGAGACCAGAGCAGCCCAGGGACAGTCACCAGCAGGAAGCAGGAGGAGCTGGAGAGGCCAGGGCAGCCTAGGGAGTGTCTCCAGAAGGTGTGTCTGCGAGGTGGAGGCTCCGGAGAGTGTCAAGGATCCCCAGCTCCTCTTCTGTACAAATAGGCCACTGGGAAAGGAATGTGTGTGTGTGTGTGCATGAGAGCAAGTGTGGGCGTGTGAGCACATGTGCCTGTAATGCTGGCTGTGACACTGTGACTGTGTGTGACTCTGAGCGTGTGGTGTGTGACCTGAGTGTGAGCAGAGAAAGGGGCCCCAGTGCTCCACTTTCCTCCACCCCACTCTCACCCAGAAGCCTCCCAACCTCAGAGCTCCCCTGGGGCCCACAGGACAGCTGCCCGGCATCAGTGTCAACTCTGTGTTGACGGGCTGCCAGTCCCGTCTACGCCAGACCCCCGCGAGTTCAGTGACACAGAGCAGCACACCAGGCTGAGCTCATGTGGGGCTTTCTGCCCTGGGGAGTGGAGGGTCAGCCCTGCCTGTGCTGACCAACAAGGCCCTCCCTGGCCCGCTGCCCTGTGAGGGGAAGAGCCAGGAGGAAAGGCCACTGAAGCTTCACCTTGGCCCAGTCGGTCAAGCCCTGCGGGTCCTGTGCCAGCAGCGTCACCACTATCCAGTGTGCTCGCTGAGACAGGCTCCCACAGTCCAGGGACTGTCTCCAGAGGAGGAACCACCCCTAGGTCCCCTGCTTAGGAGCAGAGCACCAGCCAGGCAGGTGCCCCAGGGAGTACTAGGGACCTGGGAGAGAGGGCCGAGGTGGCTGGAATCCGGGGTGGCCAGCTTCTTTATCAGGGCTCTGGGAAACCTGCAGCAATGCTCTCCAGGCCCACTCTGAATGATTTCCTTACCTGTGTCAAACTTGCCAGGTAATGTCTGAGCAAGAGACGGCTGCTGTCCCCCACCCACTGCCCAGGGAGGACATGAAGGCTCCTGGAACTTCAGTCATTGGTCTAGCCTTGCAGCCACTGAACTTCAGAGCCAGGCCTTGACCAGGCTTCCCATGCCAAGTCACCACCTTGAACAGAGCTAGGTGTGTCCTCCAGGGCGAGGGCACCTTCTGTCCTCCACCACACATGCCTGTCAATCAGGGTGGCCTAGCAGTTCTGTGGAAGGGACCCAGCATGTCCATGGACAGTGCCCAGAGGACCCTCCAACCAGGGGTCCTCCGCAGCGTTTCCCATTCTCAGCCCTCTGCAAGCTGCTGGGGACACCGATAGGTGGTGAGCAGCGCCTGCTGTCAAACAGCTGACACAGCAACAGGCCCACCCCGGAGCAGGAGGAACCGCAGGCTGGAGTAGGGCCAGAGCGGTACCACCAGGAAGACTCCAGGACAGGTGCCCTGCCCGCCATGCCAGGCTGACCCCAGGGTCCACAGTGAGTCCCAACAAGGAAACTGAGGCTGAGGGTGGTGAGGTCACTCACGCATGGGCACCCTGTCTTCTGGCTGAGCAGCTCTGCTTTCCCACCACACTCAGGGCCCAAACTGGGACCCACTGCAGAGGAGTCTCCACCAGCCACAGGCCCACTCCTGAGGGCAAACCCTGTACCCAGCCCTCACCCCCCCACCCCGCCATGCAGCAAAGGGCTCTACTTACATACTCCTTAATGTCCTTGGACTTCACAGCCTTGTAGGAGTAGTACGCAGGGTAAAGGGTGCCAAATATGAGCCTGGACAGGAGAGAGAGAAAGCAGAAGTGTGGCTTCCATTCATCCTACTTGGGGGAAGCTGTCTGTCTCGGGACCAGGAACAGTCCTCCAGGCACAGAAAGGCTGCTGTGGGGCTGGGTCCCTCCAGCCTGGGCCCCCAGGTCCTCCTGCTGATGGTGGTTGCCCCTGGAAACCCCCTGGCCCAGCCCACCCCTGCTTCCTTCAACTTGTGGTCTGTCAACATGAAAAAATGGTTGGGAGTCACAGAGGCCACAAGTGTGGGGGTCCAGCTGAGCAGCCAAGATCCCTGAAATCAAAGGCCACCTTTCCGCTCCGGCTGCTGACCTCTTCTGAAGCCCAAGAAAGCCTGCCCAACTGGACTTGATCTCTGATCCTATAGCCAGAATAAGCTTCTCCCATTGTAACCGTAACCTGGTCAACCCCAGTGCATCCCCACCCCACATTAACCACTGTTCCCGAAATGCAGAAGCAAGCCAGTCAGGGTGGCCATCCCAGCACACCCTGAGATTCCAGCAACTTGGGAGGCTGAGGCAGGAGGATCACAAGTTCAAGGCCAGCATCAGCAACTTAGTGAGGCCCTACCTCAAAATCAGAAAATAGAAAGGGTGGAGGTGTGGCTCCATGGTAGAGCGCTTGCCTGGCACACGCAAGACCCTGTGTTCCACCCCCACACCATGGGGAAAAACGCAGGAGCAGGGACCACAGCACCACTGGGACTGTGTGGTCATTGGCTTTCTTTGCCGTGCCCTGTCCACAGCACTGGATGGTCTGCTCCGTCTGATATGAGCGGCCCAGGATGAAGTGCTCGCTAAGTAGGCGTTCACTGCACAAAGCTCCAGGGTGAAGTCACACCATCCTGGACACTCCTGACCTTGGGTCTGAGGTCTCAGCATCCAGAGGGAGGCCACAGCGTGGGCTGAATCAGCAAAGCTTCAGGCTCTGCTGCGCCCCTCCCCTGACTCAGGCAATGGCAAGGCCCTACTGAGGTGGATGGCGCAGGGCATCCATCCTCTGGAGGAGCGCAGTATGTTTCTGGGAATGGGCTGGTTTGTTTTTGTATTCCTTTAATAAGTATAGTTGCGACTTCTCATATGACCATTAAGTATGAAGGAAAAAACATGACTTTCCCAATTAATGCAACTACTTCTAAGAATAGATCTGTTTGCTCTAAATGCAATGATTCAGCTGTGGAGCGTAAATTGATAATGTCTAATGAAAAAACTCCCTGTATTCCTGTCAAGGAAGTTTTTGAGAAATTAAATTAAAATCTAGAGAAGAAGAATTAATGTTAAGAAGATAGATTAGTGCTTAGTACTGGGCAACTTGTTCTTCCTGTGCACAATGGTTTGTGCTCTTACTCTTGTTTGATTAAAATTAATAACAAGTTAACCACTTGCCGTAACCATGGCACCAGTTCCAGTCAGTAAGTCAAGCAAGAATAGTCAAGGTATAGGCCAATAGTTGGGACATTTCTAACTATTATTAAAAGTTAACTAAACAGAAACAGCTTAAAGCAAAACGCAAACTGAAAGGAAAAATGCTTGCTTATGCATAAGCCAGGATACATTCTTCTATTCTAATTGTAGCTACGTAATATTTTGTTTCTTTGAATAATGATTCCTGTTTTGTAATCACAAAGTACTGTGAACCTGCCAAAATGAAAAGTATATATGATGAACTTCACAAGTAAAGATTGGGATTCAGCACCTTCACTTTGGTGCCTGTGTTGTTTCTCCACCCCCTCTTTCGCCGACTCCTCACCATCTGTTTGTCTCCTGAGACCCCCTGTTGGAGCTGGTCTCCGACAAGGCTCACCATCCACTCTGGGGAAATGTCACCCGTGTCTGCCAGGCAGGCCTCCCCCTGCCCGGAGGTTGGGGCTGGGTAGGTCAGCTGGGAGCCAGCCCCTGCCCCTGGGTCCCACACAGACAAATTTGCATTTTGGTCTCAATGACAATTAGCATGTCACCCCTTGGGGGAGGGGCTTGCAACCCTCCTAATCTGCTTTGGAGGAAGAGCAGTGAATGCAGCAGTCCCAGCCAGGGGGCACTGATGCCTGTGTTCCCAGACCAGGTGCCCCGCAAGGCCCTCTCCTCGCGGTGCTGTGCCTTCCCAGCCCCCCCCACCCCACCCCCCCAAGCCCCAAGGCCTCGGGTCACCAGTCAGCAGCTGTCCCAGTGTGCCAGGTGCCAGTGACCCGTGACTCTGGCGGCTTTCTCAGAGCCCCCATCTGAGTATAGGACCTTCCCCAGCCCCAGGACTGGTTTGTTAAAGCCCACTGACACTTTAAGGCCTGTCTCAGGAGCTCAAGGGAAGCACCCCACTGGGAAGCCTTGTACTCCTCCCTCTGGGGTATCTACAGCCCCTCTAGGCCTGTGGCCCTGAGCAGCGGCAGCCCTAGGGACATTTCAGGCAACACTGGCACTGGGCATGCTCACCCACGTGGGCTGACTGCAGGTTAGGGCTAGGGCTAGGACTGACAGTGGGCTGGCCCGTTCTCTGTCACCTGTGACTGGACATCTTGGACGACCTTCACAGACCAAGACCCTGGGGTTCCCTGTTCACACCACCCAGCTCTGGGTTCACTGGGGTCCAAGTGCCTGGAAGAGCCCCTGACCGGGTGGGTGCCTGATATGTGTCTTTTGAGGAAATGATCAAACAACTGTCATTTATCCCTAAGGAACATAGTCCACCCTCCAGTGACAGCCCTGCAGAGGCCAAGAGGAGAGTGGTCAAATGTGTAAAGGCTCCATCAAGGCTCAGGCCCGCTCAGGCAGAGTAGGGTATCCATAACAGAGCCTCACAGCGCCAGGGGCCCAGGGCTGGCACCCACCCTCCTCCTCCTCATGTCAGTGCCTGTGGCCAGCAACCCCTCCAGAGGTTAGGGTGCCTGCCTGCTGCCGCCTTCTTCTGTCTGTGCCCCTGCCCCTCTTGCTCCAGTTAGGAGCCTTCTTTAGGCTGCTCCCCCCACACCACCCACCTGCACCCTCCAGAACGCAGGGGTGCAGGAGGCTCCTAGGATCACAACGCTCCAGGCGGCAGGTCCCAGCAGGGCGATCTAGTTGTCCAGGGGCATCTGGGCAGCGCCTGGAGCTCCTTCAGTTATCATAGCAAGGAGGGTGCTGCTGGCCTCTGGAGGGCACATGTCCACAGGGCGCAGGACAGGACGCCCCACAGGCCTTCTCCAGCCGAGAGCCCACAGGACATGCTGGAAACCCTGGTCCAGAGAGTTATTTCCTGGTCCTCACACCATGGACTCTTTCCTGATCTCCAGGCCAATCTGCCCTAAGAGAATGCCCAGTGTCCTAGCAAGTGCTCAGGTAGAAAAGGACAGTCCAAGATGGTGGGCACCACACCTACCCATGGGCCAGCGTTGGGGAACACAGCTCTGAGGCCCCTCCTGGAGCTCTGAGCAGGAGGAAGTGCTGCTCACACACACTGACCATTCAGGTGCCCGGAGGAGCGCTGGGCTGTCCCGGGGCCACAGATGCTGCACAGTCTGGGGCTCCACTACAGGCTCCAGTGCTGCCATTGCCAGCTGAGTCCAAGACTCACAAACCACAAGACCAGCCAGTGTTTAAACTGTACTGACCATTCTAGAATCAACGCTAGCAATAGTTTTTCTAAAATTAAAACGTGAAGTGCAAGTAGAATAATGAGCCTATTTATACAGATGTTTATTCCACCATAAAACAAACCACTCTAAAGAAACAGTACTCCCACACTTGATCTCCTCCCCTGCGTTTTGGTTATGGTCTATGGACATGCTTGTGCATGCAGGAACACACATGGTCTATGGACACTCGTGTTCATGTAGGTACACAATGGTCTATGGATACACATGTGCATGTGTGTACACACAGTCCATGGGCATACATGTGCATGCAGGTACACAGATGGTTTAGGGACACACATGTGCATTGCAGGTACACACATGGTCTAGGGACACACGTGTACCTACAGGTACACACATGGCATATGGACACATGTGTGCATATTAGTACACACATGGTCTATGGATTTGGGATGCACATGTTATGGTTAAAAATTTTTAAAAGATAGTGTGTTGCATTGAAAAAAAACAAGTTTGCATAAAGTTCTTCCAGTTATCCTGTTTCCTTTGAGCATTCAAAGCAATATAAATTTTACACTGATTATATTTTGTGCTTTATGTTCTTAATGTTAAAAATATATAAGTTATAATTACTATTCCCTGAGGGTTTTGGTAAAAACTTATAAATTAGTTTTTTTCACCTTAATGGAAGTGACTCTCCTGGGCTGCTATGCTGCCTATACTTTTTTTGTTGTTATTATTGCTACTAGGAATTGAACCCAGGGTGCTTAACCACCAAGCCACATCCTCAGCCCTTCTTACTTTTTTATTGTGAGTTGGGGGCTTGCTAAGTTGCTTAGGGTCTTTCTAAGTTGCTGAGACTGGCCTCAAAGTTGTGACCCTCGTGCCTCATCTCCTGAGATGCTGGGGTCACAGGTGTGCACTACCACGCCCAACTTTGCTCTCTATTCCAATGGAAGGGTGCTTTGTGGTTCCAGAGTTCCTTTTGGCATTCCAATAGATGTGTTTCAATTATTTTAAATATGGAAAAAAATTTAAGTGAGACACCTTTGAAGTCCCTCATGTACACTTTCCTGCTATGATCCTTTCCCCTGCCCCCAAAGTTGTAAATTTGGTATTTATTATCCACACCTTATTTTATTAAGCCCATTGTGTGCCATCAATCCTTTACATAGGACACTTGTAATAACCTATATTGAACAATTTATAGGGATTCTATAGAATTCTATAGGTGTTGCATCCAGGATGATGGAACATAATGGGTTAACTACACGAGCTATGCATAGATAGTACCGTGTTCTCCCTGTTTGAGGCAAAGGAACAGAATTTCACTGGATGGATTCCAAGGCATTTTGTTCTTCTCATCCAACCTTATGTTTTGAAATGCGATCCCTGTTGAGATTTGTCTTTCTAGATCATTCTTGAA